GGAGCTTTTGGGACCCCAGGCAGCCCCGACACCCGTGTCTCCGGGGCATGCCGGGCCCACGCCCTGCATGGCAGTGGTTTTTTTTTTTCTCTTTCCCCAAAGGAGGAAAAGGAGTCAGATCAGGGTACAGCAATGAACTACTACGACTTATAAACCCAGCTGTATTTCTAGCCGGAAAATGAATCCTTTCGCTGCTCCCAAACCCCTTTGACGGCTCTTCCCACCAGACGGCACTTGGCTGCAGGGACCACGCCCTGCATGGCAGTGGTTTTTTTTTTTCTCTTTCCCCAAAGGAGGAAAAGGAGTCAGATCAGGGTACAGCAATGAACTACTACGACTTATAAACCCAGCTGTATTTCTAGCCGGAAAATGAATCCTTTCGCTGCTCCCAAACCCCTTTGACGGCTCTTCCCACCAGACGGCACTTGGCTGCAGGGACGCCTCCATCCAGTGCGGTGCGCAGTGACTCAGAAAATGTCAAAGCAGCCAAACTCTTAAGAAAACATTAGGAAAAATCTAGTAGAAAATGAACTTGAAGTGTGTGTGTGGGTATAACTTTTTTTCTGTTTAATTGAAATGTTTTTACTTCCGTTGGTAGATGCCGCTCTGGTAGCGGGTTGGTAGCTCAGGATTCTGTCATGGGACCTGGGAGGGTTATGTGGGCCATGGTACTCTGTGTCTTGTTTGAATGGGTGGTTCTAATATGGTCATCAGCCTGGAAAAAAACAGGAGCAAGCAAAACTGGTTATTATTTAACCTTAGGTAGAGTGTGATGGAGAGCTCATTTCCCGAGGAGCTGTGAGAGGGCAGGCAGACAAATTGCCATTTTAATGTGATTTTGACACCAGCTCAGCTATCCCCTGATCTGGGCTTAATGCCTGTGGCTGTGCAGTTTAAAGAAAGGGAGGAGAAAGCAGGTCTTCATTCATCTGGTTCCAGCTGTGGAGGCAGCTGTCCAGATGGCACCAAGCTGGGGGCTGAGGTGGAAGAGGAGAAGGTCACGTTGGGTGAAAACCACCTCAGAGGTCTATTGCCCTTCCAGTATGCTGGGTTCTGTCCCAAACTCGGAGAACTCCTCTAGGCAAGAAACTGCTGCCTCCTTTTTTCAGTCCCTCCTGGGCTGCTCTAGGTTGAAATCTCTCATTTTCTGTTCATACTTTGCAGGTACATGTCCACTTCATGGATGAGAAAGTGGCCAACAGCAGGCCAGCGGTAAGAGGGTCTAGTTACAGGTCTTTTGTGATGAGGAGTCCTTAGCTGTGCTCTTTTTCTAAGGGAACAAAGTCTTTTCCCACCATACATTTAACAAACTCATTAGTGTAATACCAAGCGTACATTGCCTTGAGGGCTTTCTTCTGGAGGACCTCCGATATGCCAAGGCAATTCTTAATCTGCAGTTGGTTGTAGATAAGCATGGAAGTCTTGACTGTAAAATGAAACCATACTGATTGCTTACACCAGTTGGGCCATGTAGGGTCCACAACGTGCTGACAGTCGGAGCCAGGTTCAGACTGGGGTGCCTGGATAATTTATGTATAGAAAATCCAGGCTGGCTGTAGAAATGTCATCATTAAATGAGCTGGAGTGCCAAGTGTTATTTTAATACTGGTCTGGACAGTACGCATGTATGTGTGTGTTGATGTATGTAGATATATATGTGTGTGCCTATATATGTATGTATATAGATACACAATTTTTTAGAGGTGTCTTCGTAAGAGCGTTTCTAACTACAGGCTTCTGCATTTTGAGATTTTGGCCAATTTGGGAAGTTTACATGCAGAGTCAGTCAAAAGGTGATAGTAAAAAATAGGGGATTTCCTACTCCAGTTCTTGAGGTTAGTTTGCTACAAGCTATGCTTATTTTCTAAAGAAAATAAGCGTGAATGCCTTATTGGATGGTCCTGTGAGTCTGGGAGTGACGTTTCACTTTCTAGGTAAGACTGGGTGGAAGTTCCTGTAAACTGGAAAGCAGAGAGTTGGTCCTTGTGGTTGATCGTGTGCAAATCAGATAGCAGCTGGCCTTGAAAATGCCACACTATTATTTACACCAGCCTTCCCGCTGTAACGGTTTATTAGGAAACGCGCAGTTGCTGATCCTGAATAAACACGTAACGTAACATGTGGCTCTGAGCAGGGTTTCGGCTCGGCACGTCCCACTTGGAGAAGGTGGTGGTGGCACAGGCTCATGGGGAGCAAGGTGTCAGGAGGAACCCGGAGCTCTCTTCTGTTATCAGGCCAGGCCCAGCGTGTCCCTGCTCCTTATCAGTCCTGACAGAGCTGGCTTCTGCCGCACTGAGCCTCTATACATCCTGCCTCTGCTGCTGTAGGGGCCGGCACCGCTGCCTCCATTTGCACATAAAGAGAGGCTGCAACACATGCTGTTACGTATGTGAACAAGGTGGGAGAGTTGCAACAGGCACGGCGAAGAGACGCAATGCTGGACTTCATTATTCTGAGCCTCCATTTCTTCCTCTGCTTTCTCATCGCTGTTGCGATCTGGCGTGCACCTAAGGTATGGTGTGGCTTGCTGCCACGCTGCTCTTCGTGGCTCTGCACCCCTTTGCAGCGGGATCCCCCCTGCCTGCAGTTCCCCTTTTGTCTCAGCACGTACAAAGACCTTTTTTACCCTGATTTTTCAGAGGAAGCAAGGGTAGCATGGCTGTACTGGGAAGTCAGAGGAACTGGAACACAGTAGCTAATTGTAAGCAAATTTAATAGGAAGGCAGGTTTTGTGATAAAACTACTTATGTCCTGTGCTAGGAGAGGGAGGGGCCATTGGACATTTGAAATATGTAAGAGGAAGAAGGGAAAGGCCAACACATTTGGTAAAAAGCCCAGGCTGAATACAGCTTCTCAATAAACAATTTTTTTCCCTTTTGCAGATGGTATTTTCAGTTTTTTATCAACTTATATCAGGTTGTATTTCTAACCATAATATTATTTTTAAAGTATTGGCTTTACATGTAAATGTTACTGTTTACCCATTGCATAGCTAAATAGTATAGTGTTTTACATGTAGCATCCTTGTATTTTTTTGCATGTAGCTTTCCCGGGGATATGGTGATTAAAGTGCAGAGTAAATTAATAGTGATTTAGAATTTATCTTGCCTCAGCCTCAGGTATCAGGTTTGCAACAGCTGGCTTTCCTAGTCCCAGTTCTGTTAGTGAACACGTAGGCCAAACATTATCACCAAACTCATGTGCTTTGCTTCGTGTGCATGTTGATAGTCTTTTACTAAAACTTCTGCTTCTTTCACTTCACGTGTTAAATGGGTCAGGGTTTTCTCCGGGACTGAGTCACTCATTGAAGAAATGTAGAAATTCAGACAAAAACTGTTTCTTAAGGTGGCTTTTTAAATTTTTTTGTGTTTTAAGGATGTGGATTTGCACAGCTCAAGCACAGGAACAGTTCAAATGGAGCCAGATGGTCTTACATTAATTGGCAAAGAAGGTGACATAAAGAGGTCAGGAAGAGTAACAGCCAAAGTCAATGGCAGAGAAGTTGTTGTTTTCTACCATGAAGGGAAATTTCATGCTATGGACTCTCGTTGCTACCGTAAGATATTTGCACATATGAGCTCAATGTTGCAACAATTAAGCGTAAAATCTGCTGCATAAATTAATGCTGTGTTCTACCATGTTTCAGATGAAGGAGGCCCTTTACGTCTTGGAGAAATAGAGGTACGTCAGCAAAATAAAAATAATGTAGGGGGACAGAGTAATGTGAAAACTCTAATGCTTTTTTTGAATACTTTTATCTGAACATAACATCAAAAGAAATGGCTATATATTTATAATAGCAGACAGCCATACAGCCAAATCACCAAACATGTCTTTTGTCCTAGAGGTTGTTCCAGGAGAAGAATCAGAAGCCGATGACTTGCTATTTTTATTTTCTTCTTCTTGCAGGATATCGATGGTCAAGCATGTATTGTTTGCCCTTGGCATAAGTATAAAATTACTTTGGAAACAGGAGAAGGATTATATGAAGGAATAAACCCTTTGGAGCCATCACCGACACCACAGTGGCAATCAAAAGGAGTCAAACAAAGGATTCATAAAGTCACAATAGACAATGGAAACGTTTATGTGAGTCCTCCAGATTTGTCAGTAAGCTTTGACTCCGATTATTTTGCTGACAAGTACAAAAATAATGGTGATTTAGCTATGGAAAAACAAAGCAATTCACAAGCAGCAGCGTAAGTTGTGGCCAGAAAGCAGAATCCTGGTGAATGTACCAACGAACTATTGTCGTGAAATAAAAACATACTGTGGCCATAAAGATTGTCTCCAGCTTCAACTCTAGTGTTAATGTTATGTTAAAGCATTGAAACACATAGAATTGAGTAAGATAAGAAGCTCTGCGTTGTCACAAATGTGACTGATCTTGTGCAATGATTTTTTTTTTTTGCACTAGCATTTCAAAAAGGCTTATTTACAGTAGAGTGCCTCATAATATTTGATATCCTAGAAATCCTAGTTTGCTAGAATCTTTTTAATTTTTAGGAGGGAATGTAGTATATTACTGCTTATAAAACACATTACAGAGTTTAAGATAAATAGTCAGGTGTAAAGGTTATGTTTATAGGCTTAACAGTTTATACTTATAATGCCTTCGGTATAAATGACACAAAAATTTTTAACTTTAGATACGTTAGAAATCTCTGGGTGTTTATTAAGTGCCACAAAGAGAAGTACAAATCTTGAGCATATTTTAGTGACCTTCTTTATGCCTATTTGTGTATTACTACCATGATTCCATAGAAGTATTTCTTTTCCTTCTCCTCATTGAACTCCTTTTGGTAGTTCATCAAATAATTTGACAAGCATTTTTCATGTATAGCTTGTTCTTCCTGATTCTTTTGGATAAGAAAGAAGCTGTTGTCTATAAAAACCTGATACATAATGTAGTGGCTCTTGTTTCTTTTTTTTTTAACTTACTGTAAGTTCAGTTTTATACATTCCTTTGAAAAAATGAGCTTTCAGTTTAGAGCCAAAAGTTAGGTTTCTCTATGTGTGTTCACTGTATAATATCAGATTTGCCTCGATAATCCCTCTGAGAAAGTTTCCCTCCGACCTGTGCTGTGTGAGGGCCAAGCTGGGCTCTGGGACACGGTGGGTTCCCTGCCCAGCCCGTGGGGTCCAGAGTACAGAAATACTGTGCGAATGCTTAGCATCCTCTTGCATGGCTGCAATTGCATGTTTGCAGTACTTTGGGGTGCATTTATGGGTGATTTGTTGGCTGTTTGCAAAGTTCGGTTGTAATCAGGTTCAGTTTGAAGCTGCCTGGTCTGTAAGTTTCTCTTGTGCATGCAGTGGGTTGCCTTGCGTTTAATGTATGTGAAGGGTAAGTAGGTCTGTGTCAACACCATTGTTCATATAAATGTATTTAAAAGTCATGAGGCATAGGGAGGTATCAGAGGAAAACTTCTGTGCCCGATTGATCACAATGAAAAAAGCAAAGCACATAATCAATTTATTTCACCACATTTAAATTCAGATGTGCACCTCTGATCATGCCTCCTTACATTGTTTTTGTGGTTGATAGGGGGAAGCGGCACCTTCAAGGTGCTGTTGAGCTGACCTGTTTCAGTTTTGTGTTTTAGAAAAACTACAGCACAGAAATGCTTTCCTCCTCCTCCTCCTCCACCTCTCGCTGACCGCTCAGCCAGCCAGTGCCGACGAGATCAGATGCAAATGCCTGCCTTCTGTCAGATGAATTACATCTTGATCATCTGCCAGAAAATGCTGTTATGTACTGACCTGTTCTGTAGGGTTTTTTTTGTTTGCTTGTTTGTTTTTTAAAGGAATAGATAACCTCTTTCTCTCTCATCTTGCAGCCACAGGGTAGGTGGCAGGAGGGTGAGGCAGGAGGGGAGGTTATACAGCTGATATTCCAAGGGGCCTGGAGCACACATCACTCTGGGTGCTGCAGGGGGGGATGGAGAACTGCTTCCCTTCCCTCCCTCCTCACCCAACTACCTGCACCTGTGATGAAACTTAAGCATTGATGTCTTGTCCTATTGAAGGACAGGGATCATATAAAATAAAAGTATTGTAAGGTCTTCAGATATACCTGCGTTGACTCATGTGATTGCTTAGATAGTATTTTTATTGCTGTTTTTTTAAAGTACTGCATTAATAGAAATTGACAATTTAAATTAATAAAGACACAGTTCAATTTAAGAAAGTACCAATTATGAGTAATACGCTATTGCCTGTACGACATTTAGTAGAATGTTAGTAATAGGAAGTTTTACTTGAAAGTTTCATGAACACGTTCATATTAGTAGAAGAGTTCTCAGGCTTTTGCAGAATTGAATTTTCTGGCTAAAAGCCAGCGAAGAGTTTAATCATATGTTTACTGTTAATCATATGAAATCAGTGGAACTGCATGTCCAGGCTTAGAAAAGTCCCCTTTCTTCACTACTTCTCAAGCATAATAACTATCTGCAAGCTTTTAAAGTGTTTTTGCTTTTACTTTAAACGTTCTTATTCTCAGGGAGATCACATTAATTTAATATCTAAAGTTTGTCAGTTTGCTTTCCCCTCAATTTTCTTGTTGATGATCACAGAAGGAACAGACAATTATTAACTCTGGTGGCTGTGAACGAAGGAGGGAGAGTTAGCTGTCTGTTAGACTTTCTTTTTTTATTATTATTTTTTATTTTTTGACAGCAGAGAACAAAACCTACAGCATGTTAAAGTTGCTACCTTTAAAAAAATACCTGCACTATTCTGTTTTATTTGTCTGAGCTTTGAAGTGCTAGAATATGCACCTGATTTGAAAATACTGTCACCATTTAACGTCCCAGGGTTGGACGTTTCTGAGTCTCTTGTCCTGCTAGCTCTTTCTAGGTCTCTAGCTATACTGGCATATCGTGTGAAGACATGGAGAATGTGGGGGTTATCCTGAAAGGGAGCCAGTCAGGAGATTGGTAGGGAAGGATGGAGGGGGAGCACGGGGGGATCTTGGATGTGATGGGAGAGCAGGAACGGCAGGCACCGGAGCTGGGTGAGAAGTGAGGAGCGTCAAGACAGGTGAGAAGAGAAGGTGTTGGTACTCATGGGGGAAGGAGACTTCAGTGGGAAAAAACAGAAAAGGCAGCAAAAGGCACTTTTGGGAGCAAGGAGACTGAAGCAGGGTGGGGGACCAAGAGCCATCCAGGGAACCGCTGGTGAGGGTGGAGGATGGCTGGGATGTGGCTGTTTGCAATTAGAGACTAATAGCAGGACAAGGAGGGAGACGAGGAGTGGTTAAGTTAAGGCAGTGAGACTGAGGTGGCATTTAAGGGACAATGAAGAGACAGAAGGAATGAGTAGTTGTGGGCAAGAGACCAAAAAGTCACTGGCTGGATAATTAGAGCTTCCTGGCAAGATCTGTTAATGAGAGTGATGTTAAGATCAACCTTCCAAATCATTCAGGAGGAGTGTTTTGTTAGTGATAGTTTTGGGGGTTTAGTTTAATTTGACAAATGAGCAAACACCATCTGTTTTCCCATCATTAATCAGCCAGGCAAAGAACAGAGAAATATATTTTGTGCTTTGGCTTGAAAATTTTCATGATGACTGTGAGACATTCAGGCTCTGTAAGCTGCTTTCACAAGGAGCTTGAACAGAATAAACAAGTTCTGCTATCATGGAGCCATCTTTTCGAGAAAGAGAGGTGGAAACTATCACCGTAGTAGTTTAAACAGGAGCTTGAGCCTTCACCTGATGTAACTGCACCGTAAACCTTAATTAGACAATATTAACTGTAAGGCTGGATGTGGTATGTTTTGCTTCTGCAGGTAGTACCTTGTTCTCCAATGTCCCCTTGACTTCATTCGGTGCTGCACATGAAGTAAAGGACAGCTTCAATGTGAAAAGTGTTATAAAGTCAGGATTGAGAAGTTTATGAACGTACCCCATATGAAGCACATACAGCGGTGAGAGCAGCCTTTGCAGGATAGGAGATCACACCAGGCAGGGAAAAACGTCTAGTCTGTGGGAAAACAATTTTAAAACCAACCTTTCACTGTTGAAGCCCTTTTCAATAGCAGTGCACAGTTCCTAATTTCATGCTCAATTTTGGAATGAAATCAGGTCTGAAGTTTGCACCTGCTCTTTCCGATATGATTAGGAAAAGTAATTCATGTTGTTCCCCTGTTGATCATACAAACATGGGCTGCAAGAGTCAGCACTCACCGATTCCCAGGTGTCCCATCGCTCTGCCCACTTGGCTTGGCAGCTGCTTTTGGAGGTTACTGGAGTGAGCAGGGGATGGGGAATGGAAATAATACTGCTGGAGAGGTACTGAAGCCTCTGGTTGTATGTGGGGAGACTGCCCTTCGCTGGCACCGCTCTGGCAGAGCCGGTCCCACAGTGGATCCAACTGGTGGGGGCTTCGCTTCCCCCCCCAGCTGCATCTGAGGCATTTGGGGTAAGTGGTTTTCTGCCAGGCCAGCAAGTTCAGCCACCTCCACCAGTGGCTAAACCAGGACCACACTGAGGGCATGGGGATGCAGGAGGAGCAGGTGAGGCTTAAGAGGGTGTGATGGGTTGGGTCAGTTTTTTGAACTCTATCCAGCAAATGTTTTTTTGTGGAATTTATTCATGCAAACCTACTGATTTTGTTAAGTGGAATTTTTTGCTTGAATGAAGAGTAAACACAGTTCTCAACACCTGACATCTGTAAATTACTGAACTAGGCTAAAAGTGAAAATGCCAGTTTTGCTTGTAGGTACACAAACTGAGAAATTGATGCAGATATCCTGATTAGCCCATTAATGACTCTTCGTCTCTGAGATGAAGAGAGTGCCCTGACAAGCACTGGCTGTCATGCTTGAACAGTGGGATTGTTTTGCTAAAAGAGATGTTTGAAAAGCATGGTTCGTTATTACAAACTGTAGTTGTTAGAAATCCAAGGCTTATGAAGGAAAGACTACTCCAGAAATAATTATCCTATATGAAAGTTATGGTAAAATGTATGTTATCTTATTTAAAAAAAAAAAAAGGTTATAATTAATTTAACTCTTCGGATTACAATGAACAAATGAATTTATTTTGTTTGTGGCTTTCCATGTGCTCTTGGTATTTTGCTGAGGCTGTGGTTAACTTAGGACCCAGACAACCCAGAGATTGCACATAAAGGTAGTATCTTTTTATTAAGCCAGCAACTGTAGTTGGAAAAAGTACTAAAGCTTTCAGGCACACTGAAGTAGGGCTATAGTGCCTGAAGTTTTTCTGATTTATTCGTGTTTATATATGAGTTGTTTAATAGGAAGTATTACCTATGCTTGCAGATGTCCTGCCTTGATTTCCATTAACATCCAAGACATGTAGCTATATCCTCATTCAAGTAAGAAGTATCACCTTTTTTATCCTGAAAAAATTCCATGCTTGTTTGGCACAGATAGCTCCAGGGAAAAATGCATACTTCTGTAGCTGCCGTTTGGCCAAGGAAAGCACAGAAGAGCAGTGCAGTGCTGGCCTTTCCCTGATGGTTTATATGGACTTGCAGTGTTCCTGGCACTGTACTGGCTCAGCATGCAAGAAACCAGCACCGTCACCTGAATTTGAAAAGCAATAGCTGTTCAGGATGAATATCATCTCCCAGGAGGCTGTGTCACCTTGCAGTGCTCATGGTATTTTTCATGAGACTCAGCACCAAAAGAAAACCTGAAGCTCAACATCACTTTGGAGATGCAGGTGTTCATGTGAATTTTCATTATCAGTTTGGCTAATCTAGCATATGCTAAGCAGAAAGGAGGCTTGATGTTAACTAAATTCACGTGCAAGGCCAAGTGCAAGGTCTTGCACCTAGGTGGGGGCAACCCCCAGTATCAATACAGGGGGACGAAAGCATTGAGAGCAGCCCTGCCAAGAAGGACCTGGAGTACTGGGGGATGAAAAGCTGGACATGAGCTGGCAATGTGTGCTTGCAGCCCAGAAAGCCAACCATATCCTGGGCTGCATCCAAAGCAGGTGGCCAGCAGGTCGAGGGAGGTGATTCTGCCCCTCTACTCTGCTCTGGTGAGACCCCACCTGGAGCCCTGCGTCCAGCTCTGGGGTCCTCAGCACAGGAAGGACATGGACCTGTTGGAGCGGGTGCAGAGGAGGCCACAGAAATGATCAGAGGGATGGAGCACCTCTGCTATGAGGAAAGGCTGAGAGAGCTGGGGTTGTTCAGCCTGGAGAAGAGAAGGGTCTCTATATTGCAGCCTTTCAGTAGTTGAAGGGGGCTTATAAGAAAGATGGGGACAGACTTTTTACTAAGGCCTGTGGTGACAGGACAAGGGGTAATGGTTTTAAACTAAAAGAGGGTACATTTAGACTAGATATAAGGAAGAAATGTTTTACAATGAGGGTGGTGAAACGCTGGAACAGGTTGCGCAGGGAGGTGGTAGATGCCCCATCCCTGGACGTGTTCAAGGTCAGGCTGGATGGGGCTTTGAGCAACCTGATCCAGTGAAAGATGTCCCTGCCCATGGCAGAGGGTTGGACTAGATGGTCTGTAAAGGTCCCTTCCAACCCAAGCCATTCTGTGATTCTGTGATTTTATGTAATGTTGTACTCCTGGTTATTTTTTCTGTTGCTTTTTTAATAATTGATAACTGATTAACTTTAACTATATAGACAAAACATACTAGCATTTGAAAATATGTGCTGCTTCTGTGTTGATCTCTTATCCCAATGGGCTTTGCTTCCATAATTTGGACAATGCAAACTTTAACAGTAATATTATCTGTTTGTTTCTATGGACATCTTTTACAAAATTTTTCTTTGCCATTCAGAATGGAAGAATCCTTTCCGAGAACATTCATAGCAGTAAAATACAGTGAGTCAATAATATTGCCTCACATAGCCTGCATTTTCAAATTTTATCAGTCGGTTCCTTGGTGAATAATATTATCCGTACTTCATAGCTGTGAAACTGAAGCAGAAATTAACATTTGAAATGTTCCCTAGTTTTGGTATAGATGAGTATTCCTCTAGAAAAAAAAATGTAAGTACTGAAAATGAAACAAAAATAACATAAAACATGGTTTTGGCATCTACCCAAACACTCCTGCCGTATCTCCCCATTGCAAAATGGAAACAAGAAGGAATCCAAAAGTTCCTTTGGGCTAAACAAAATAAATCTGATTTCTTGTCTTTTTGAGTTCAAAAGAGACAAAACCAGAGCTGTTCTAAATCCCCTTCCTGAGATTTCAGATAAGCAACACAGCTTGTAGTTTCTGCCACTTGCAAAGGGCAGCAGTTATGCTCTTTAACAGTGATGACTAGCTTTTCCATTACTTAAGCAATGACGTATTTAGCCACTTCTTTCACACATACAAGGCTGCTTGCCAGAAAGCTCCCAAACCCTCCCTGCGCCTGGCTCTGCAGGGCTCACCCCGGAGCTGTGGTCAGGACCCGAGGGGACAGTGTATTCCTGTGCAGACTATCACTGACTACCAACAAAATCCATACATCTGTGAGAAATGGTGGTTCCTGCTATAGCTGCAGTTGTTCAGGTGGTTGCCAGCAAAAGCTAGAAATGCATGTGGATAGTCTGTGCCCGTTCCTTGGGTGACTTTGCTCAGGGTATTTTGCAAACAGCTGTTGGTGGCTGCATGGCAAGACTGGGATCCTGTGGTGGTGCTGCTTGTGGACCTGCTGTGGGGTAGCTGGGAATCAGTCACCAGGTCGATTTCATAGGAGGATGGGGTGGATTCCCCCAGGCCCCTCCAAGTCCCCTTATAAAGGAGCTGTGGGTGGGAAGAGTGACAGTGAGAATATGAGTTTATTTGGCCAGAGTTGTTCCATGTGAAATAAAAAGTGCAACTTCACCTTGGGACCCCTGGCAAACTCCTGGTGTTTAACATAAAATGAGCTTCTTCAACATCATCTCTATAGCTCAGGAGCAACATAAACAGCAGTAAAGAATGAATACCGCTAACGAAGTCATTGTCAA